ACGTTACATGCGGAATGGATTTAGACAATCCGCATGCTAGCCCGACTCAAACGGTAGTCGGTAAAGGCTTATCAAACCCGTTGAAGGCTGGGGGTTAGCCAAAAATCCTAAAGTCAACACCTAACACGTGTCGCTGGGTAGCCTATTCCCGTAACAATGGTGAAGCTTATGTATTCGACATCATAGCACAAAGTCTCAGAAAAATCACTCTCTTAGCACAACGTTACATGCGGAATGGATTTAGACAATCCGCATGTTAGCCCGACTCAAACGGTAGTCGGTAAAGGCTAATCAAACCCGTTGAAGGCTGGGGGTTAGCCAAAAATCCTAAAGTCAACACCTAACATGTGTCGCTAGGTAGCCTATTCCCGTAACAATGGCGAAGCCTATGTATTCGACATCATAGCACAAAGTCTCAGAGAATTCACTCTCTTAGCACAACGTGACATGCGGAACGGATTTAGACAATCCGCATGCTAGCCCGACTCAAACGGTAGTCGGTAAAGGCTTATCAAACCCATTGAAGGCTGAGGGTTTGCCAAAAATCCTGTGAGTATAATGGTCAATCATTCCAAACAGAATGAGAAATCACAATAAAGATAAAGATAAAAACCATTTCCACTAAGAGGATCAAAAGTCAAAATATTCAGGAAATGAAATCATACATCAAGCCTATGGCTAAAAATCTGCTGACTAAACTTAGACAGCTTCTCATCATAAGCTTGCCTATGCTCATCCTACAATTCAGCTCTGAGGGACTCTTCAGTGGTGGCTAAAGTCTTCATAGCAATCTCCTCCGTCTCGACCAACTTCTGCTTCAAGGATTTCAACTCCTCAGATAAGGCAGTGTGGGCTTGCTGATCCTGTACCTTCGTCATCTGAAGGATACTCAAAGTCTCCTCTTCTTCACGAAGTCCTCTTCGGAACTGTTCTATCTTGGTCTCACAAGAGGCAATAGAAGAGTCGAGATCGTCAAGTGAAGATGATCTAACAGCAAGGTTGGCTTCAACTCGGTCTACCTGATCCCGCTGCACCTGAATCTCAAGCTCAGCAAGAACTCGAGTATCGCGCCATGTCTGTAAACGAGTATCCAAATTGGCAGCAATGAATGAAGAGGCACCTGCATCTCGGAGCTCACGTAACATCTGAAGCTCGTGCTCCAAGCAATCAAGGTCATCAACTATAGCCTTCGCCAGATCCGGGTATCCTGCATCCAATAGCTTGCCAATCATAGTATTCACGAAGGAGAAGAAGGAGCGGACTTCTATACAGATGACGATCTTCTCAGGGTCGTTGTCTGATAACAACTCCTTCACAAGGACATGAAGCCGAGAAGAAAGCCCTACACAAAAAGGAGAAATCCGTCAAAAGCCTTGACGAGGAAATAAATAACATTTCTCAGTTGTTTAATTTATACCTCCTTCCCCTTGAGTCACTGGGGGTAGTGGAGGTGTAACCGCTATTGATGTATCAGCTGATGTAGTTGGTCTCGCAGCCGGCTCAACAGGATCAGTCTCGACAAAAGCTTCTGTCAAACACAAAACGGAATTCTCAGATGCATCATATTATAGCTGCATTAGTCAAAAAATAGCTAGTCCTATAAATAACTTGAGAATAGGCACGTACCTTCAAAAGGACCATCCTCGGGATTCTTAGGGAGTGTAGACTCAGGAAACATATCTTCAGGCATTTGGTCATCAATCCGAGGAGAGCCATACATGAAGTGGTGCATGAGAGTGTCCACGAGCAAACCTTCCTCGTCGAAATCATCAGTCGAAAAATCTGACACAAGAAAATATAAATGCGAAAGAAGAATAAAGAGACTACGACCAATGGAAATGAGTTACCTCTTACGGGTGTGTTAGCCTCTCTACTCCCAAGGTCCACGAAGAAGCATAGAGACAATTTGGGGAGGCACGAATTCTGAATCGTTCAACTCCTTTGTGTGCCATCTAAAGGGTACATTGTCAATGGTAGATGTACCTGGATTCGCTGAATCGGGTCCTACATTGATGGTTTCACTAACATCGGCAGCTTCTGCAGGCTTTTCTACCTAGTGTGGTAAGCCAGACTCACCAGAAAAAACAAAATCTTGAGGAGCAGGATCGGTACTCATCTCGCTTTCCCCACGCTCTCCTATATAGAGATGGAAAAGCATGAGCCTGAAGTTCTGAATGATCAAGAGGATAGTCTATGAAGTAGATGTTACCTCCGTCGCTAGCAGGATCATCGCCAGCCAAATCCATCTCGGATGCTTGCGGATCTGCACGCGGCTTGTGGGCTAGTCTCTTCCGCCTAGCAGCTGGGGCAACAATCGAAGGTCTCGCCCGGGAAAAAGGATGGAATTCTTCATCCTTATCAGCCGCGATCCCTGAAACATCAAACAATTGTCAAGATTAATAATTCTAGAAGACAGAAGGAAAGGATAGGTAGTTAACCTCGCTCGGAAGAGTCCTCGTAATCTTCAAGATCTCCGCCTGAAGCCTCATCAGCAGAATTGAAGATCTTCTTTCCTTCTTCGTCAATCCGACGAGTCTTGCTCCGCGTCCTCTGTGACCGAGCATTTTCCCAAATCACACGAGAATCAGCCTGAGAAGCCTCCTCAGCCATTAACTCTGCAATCGGCTTCACGGGGACGGTTTTGTTAGCTGCTAACAACCACCTGCAGCTTAAGAAGGTGAGATTCAACTGCCGCTCAGCACTCGGGAGACTGAACTTAGCACCAGTACAGCCCGTCACGGTCCACAGCCATGCCCGGAGACCGTCCACCAAACCGCCATGAGTCCGAAGCTGCTGACGTGGATTCCCGACAATCATAACCAAACTGGTGGGCAAATCGGTAGGGTAGATATGGCTCTATGAAACACTGATTCCTCACCCGGAAGGTCAGATAACTCGGCCTGATGTTCACTAACCAATTAAAGCTGCCGACATCTAAATGAGTTTGAGTCCCCGCCTCCCTCTCCTCATCAGTCAAACACTCGCCATATTGGCTCGAGAACTGCGGGAAGCAAGTGGAAAATACCCAACACTTGTGGACTTGTAGCTGCTTCCTGACTTCAAGGAATCCTCGCCCCTCCCACCTGCCATTCTCAAACAACTGTAGTAGGGGAACAGAACGGTCTACAGTGCTAGGTACCGACATCATATCAGGACGATGAAGGATGAGCCAAGCCATCAAATAAGTGTATGGGAGCTCCACCTTAGTAAGAGGAATCCGAGCCGACGGTTCATCTTCTTTCTATGTTAGCTTACCATCACCGGAAGAAGCGCAAAGCCTATCCTTTTTGTAGGCAATCCAATGGCAAAATGTCACTGGACTGATACGGGACCACGCATTTCTTTAACCAGATAGCGAGGTAACCGGCGAGAAGGGTCATCGGCTGAATCGATGCGGTCGTATGCCATAAGAATGATTTAAATTTGGTCCCTGCAGGAAAACCACTCTCGGGATTGCTAATGGTATAGGAGTGAGCGTCAATCTTCTTCAGCAGACCATTAACCTCTGAAGGAGTGAGCGTTGCCAGCTCACAAATAGCCTCGTCAGAATTGCTCTCTAGATTTCTGAACAAATAACACGCAAACTGCTTCAGGCTCACATGTGACTTAGTCCTCTTCGCTAAAGGCTCAGACTGCGCCAAAGCAATATGGTAGTGACTTGTGAGATCCCATAAAGTCTCATAGCGGTCGGGCATGCGGTCCTTCAGCTGACTCAATTCATGGTTGGAGGGAAAGTACTCCTGATATAGCATCTGACCCATGGGCAAACCAGAAATCTTGCGCATCTCATGAAGAGCCAAGCCCAACTCTCCGTGCCTAGTCAAAAAAGTGTTCGAATCCGGGTTATAGAGCTCGTACAAAGCGAAGAAATGTTTAGCGCTGACGGGTAAACCATACATGGTGGAACGAATAGCTGCATATAGACCACAAGCGTGCAACTCCTCGCTCCATCGGCTTAAGACGTACTTCGTCATACGAGCCCACCAAAGCTTGTCTAAAGAATGGACCCAGCCATAGAATCTATGGCGCGTCGCAGGCATCTCCCGTCCTAAGTCGGCGAGACGATTCTTCAAGGTTGAAGCAGAAGCAAGAAATTCGTTACGCGGCGGTGTATCCAGCCCCAATACCCCAGGACGCAATCCAATGATATGACTCCTGCTCGAACCAGGAGCTGCCTGATGAGTAATATAGCCATAGTGAATACTCTCATGCTCCTCCGTCAAGCACCACGACATCTCCCGCGTCACGGCCTGACGCCTGAGCTCAGTCAATGAGCGGTGTCGAGGAATCTTAGGCAAATATAGAAAACCACCGTCATCTTTATGAAGCCACTGCTCGGCGTCAATAAACACTGCATCAGGATCTCTAACAGAGTCACCAAACAAAAAGTCAGTCTTCCTGAGAGGCTGAACAGAGCTGGTATCCTTCACGAAAGGCGCATCAGTAATCAGCTGTCGAAGAACTCGATGTCCACCTTCCTTCACCACTTGGGCAACCTCTGTCGACGTGCCCGAAGCAAACTGAGGAGTAAGTGGAATAGGTGAAAAATCATCGGAGGTCGAATAATACTCGTCACGTTGCCCGTACACTGCATGAGATGAGAACGCTCCAGAAGGATATCCCACTAGAAATAAGCAATTAAGCGTTTGTTAGTCTCAGTTATAAAAGGAAGTTGAACTCATCTTACAAATGAGTAAGATAGAGTCACTGCTTTATAAAGGGTGAGACGATTTGGCTACATTGTGCATTCATAAGATAGAGTATATCGACAATATATCCCTAGCTTATAAAGCACAATGCAGCTTCAAATCGCCCCCTTTATTTTGAGATATGGTTTTGACCAAGCAAAACCTATCTTTAAAGCGTCGATCCTCACCAAGGAGAATCAAGGCTCTTCCCAATTGTCTCACCAAGGAGAACAAAACGGGGAAAAAGGACTAATCTACAAATTTCAAAATACGCCAAAAAAGAGCTCACCAGCATACGAGGGAAGCACGCCATCAGCCGACGCAGTAGGGGATTGACCTCTCGGGATATGCGACATGGTGATCTGCAAAATAAATCATGGGATCAGATACAATCAGATACAGAAAAAATTTTAGTTAGGGTGATAAACTCTAACCCTAAAATTTTAGCCCCTCTTTATTACAATTAAACCCCTCAGATCTCCAAATTCTACCCCCTGAAATATGAGCTCGAGGCGTCAAATCACAAACCCTAACCCTCATATGCAATCCCAAAAATTCATATACTAAATTAAACATGAAATATGCCAAAATTATGGAGGATTTACCTGAGAAAAAGCTCAAGGATCCGACAAAAAAATCAGATCTTGAAAGAGGCTCGAACCACGTGCTCGAGGGGCCTGAGAGAAACTTTATATATGGAGATTTTGAAGGATTTTTTAGTCTAAGATCAAAAGGAAAGATAGATCTAAGACAAATTTGAAGGTTTGAAGGAGAAAAGATGCACGAGGGAAAAGAAAACTTCAAAAAAGGGGAGAAGGGGGGCCGGCCCTAAAGAGAGGAAAAGGGGATCTTTTATAGTGTTGAACCAGCCTTGAACCAGACCAGACCAGGCTGAACCAGACCAGACTAGGCTAAACCAGACCAAACCAGGCTGAACCAGGCTAAACCAGTCCTGAACCAGTCATGAACCAGGTTGAACCAGTTCTGAACCAGTTTGAACCAGATTTGAACCAAAATTCAAATTGGAGCTGAACCGAGTGTCGAAACGACTTCAAATCGACCGACGGTTCAGTCCCTTATTTATTCATTCCTCTCCCATATATTCGAAAGGGTCGGAAGATTTATTTAGCCTAATTACTGCCTTTTTTGGGTCATTATTGGGCCGGTTCAGCTCATTCTTAGTACTCCAATAAGGTATACGAGTATAAACTATTCCCTATTTTGGTTGAGAAGTTTCTGGAGAGTATTTTTCCAAAAATATTCTTAAGGATAACTCAACAACACTCTGAAAAGTATAAGAGTATAAACTGCTTCTCAAGACTCCAGCAGAAGTACGAGTATAAACTGTGTCATACGCCGGACAACGCGTTGCGAATGAAGACTCAACGCCAACAATCGATGGTCGGTTCTATGTTGAAACAGCAAACACGAGCTAAAGATCAGAAAATCAGGAATTGACTTCAAGTTCAAAATTCCGACAACGGTCAGACAATAAATACAGCACTGGAACCCTTGCATACATTCGACAAAGCACCAAATAGCCTGGAGGATTAAAAGAATCAAGAACAGAAGCCATTCCAAGGTCCCGTTACACCGACTTAAGGTTGGGACAATCATATCCAAAGTATTCCAGACTCTTCTATAAAAGAATGAGGCTGAAATACTTTGGAGGGGGTATCTGTAGGCGTATAAAACTGCTTATAGGTCCCTTAACACAGCTCGGCATGGTGATTCGACAAACCAACGAAACATCGGGCGATGTATCCAAGCGTGATCATTAGACCACAACATCGAAGCTAAGTGAGATGCGACGAAGCAGATTAACGAGGCGACGAGGTTAAACACCGAAGCGGGTGGCGGAGCCACCTGGCCGAGCCACCCAGATTTGGGCCCAGATCTGAGCCCAGATCTGGATTGAAATGCCTATAAAAAGAGAAGGATGGCTGATTTTTGAGAGGACTTGGAACTTTTGAGGTGAAACTCTGCCGGATTGAGAACTGAACTTCGGAGTTTTGGAGCTTTGAAAACTCGGACTTTTCAGATCTGGTTCTTGGCGATCGTCCACGTCAAATAAGGCAGGAGTTCGAGAGAGATCAGATCTGAGATCCACACGGTCATCCTCCGGATCAAAACTTGGTTTTTGATCTCGAGAAGAGTATCGATTTCGCTTGGTCGATTTCGATTACTTAGGGCTATTATTTCCTTGGTGAAATAATCCCCTCGGCTATTATTTCCTTCGTGAAATAACACCCGTCATACCGTGTAGATCCGACCGGATCAAGATCGCGCGGTGGTCCACGGATTAACCCCGGCGCAGGCAAAGAACCCACACAAGCAAAAGACCGCAAAACAGGATCTTGCGATTTGTTCCGAAAGAAGGAAAGTTGTCATTTTCTTTTTTTCTTTGATTTTGTTGTAACCGGATCTTATAAAAAGACCGGATCTTTTGTAACCGATAAACTGTTGCTTAAGAAAACAATGACGTCAATGAAAACGATTTTCCCCGCGAACAGCTGCTAACTCCAAATCATGAGTGTGGTAGTTCTGCTCATGTACCCTTAGTTGTCGTGAGATGTATGCTACTACCCTCTGAGTCTGCATTAGAACACCTCCCAAACCTGCTAACGACGCATCCGTGTATACGACAAATGTCCTGTCACTGCTCGGAATAGTAAGGACTGGCGCCGTAGTTAACTTAGCCTTTAAGGTATCAAAGGCCTTCTGGCACTCCGTGCTCCAAGTAAACTGTACACCATTCTTCGTAAGACATGTAAGTGGCATCGTAATCTTCGAGAAGTCCTGAATGAACTTCCTATAATAGCCAGCTAACCCCAAAAAGCTACGAATCTCGATAACCGACTTCGACGGTTCGCAATCAAGCACTGCTAAAACCTGAGCTAGGTCCACTACTATGCCCTCTCTGCTGACAATATGGCCAAGAAACCTGACCTCAGAAATCCAAAACTCACACTTCCTGAACTTAGCATATAGCTGATGCTCCCTCAAAGTCTGCAAAGCCAAACATAGATGCTGCTCGTGCTCTGATTCTGATCTCGAATAGATGAGAATATCATGGATAAATACAATCACGAATTGATCCAAATATGGACAGAAGACCCAGTTCATTAAATCCATGAATACCGCGGGTGAATTGGTTAACCCAAATGGCAAGACCAAAAACTCGAAGGACCCATATCGAGTTAGAAATGTGGTCTTGGGAATATCTATCTCCCGAACCCGCAGCTGATGATAACTAGAACGAAGATCAATCTTCGAGAAATACTATGCTCCCTGTAGCTGATCGAACAAGTTATCAATCTAAGGCAAATGATATCTATTCCGGATAGTGACTTTGTTCAACTTACGGTAGTCGATATATAATCGCATACTACCATCCTTCTTCACGAAGAGGACCGATGCTCCCCACGGAGAATGACTCCGACGAATAAAGCCCTGAGCTAACAACTCAACCAACTAGGTCTGTAGATCCCTCATCTCAGCAGGTGCCATGCGATAGGGTGCTCGGGATATCAGGGCTGTGCCCGACTGTAACTCAATACAGGAGGCAACCCAGGTATGTCCTGAGAGACATCCTGATAATCTGACACAACTCTAGTCTCGCATATATCAACACTTTGATACCAAAACATCACCTCCTCGATGTGCGTCAGTAATGAATCCGCAAACTGGTTCCCCTGAGAGGTTGCTATTGGCCTTTTTTCTTTTGATGATGTTTAACAAACAATTTCCACTAATTTTCTTTGTCTAGTGTTTGTGTATTTCTATTTATTATAAACAAATAATGTGTTGGAGGATGGATGGAATCAAGCTTTCACGATCATATCCAATAGAGGTTGGTGGAATAGTAGAGTGAAGTAATACAATTCAAGTTGAAGATCCAAGTTTAAGCTTCATCCGCAAGTTTACCAAGAAGAGCTTATTGAAGATCAAGATCATAGCTTGGATATATTTAGTTTAGGTTTATATTATGTGTGTTAGTACTTTATGCTCAATCATATACACACATACACGTTTTGGTTTTGTATATATATATATATATATATGATTTCATCAATATCAATTTTATTTAGTTCAATGAAATCATATTTATTATTTTTGAAAAGTTTGCAAAATATGCAATTTTGTGAAAATATTGTATTCTCAATTTTTAGACTTAATAATAATCATATACATCTTTTATTAAGTCTACAAAATCATTTTGTATTGTTTTAAAACATGGTTAAGCTAATATGTCAAAACTCATGTGTTTACATTTTCATGTTTTTGTAGCATGTTTATTATCATGTTTACAATCATTTTCCAAAGTTTTATATTTTTCTGATTTTATTTGCTATTTTTAAAAGAGGTTTGAAAATAAGATTTCTGTTTAAAACAGACAGTGTGCATGTTTTGAGTCAACTCGTGAACAGTGTTGAGTCGACTCATAAACTGTTGTGTAGTTTACATTTTGTTTCTAACGAGTCGACTCATAACATCATAAGTCGACCCATCAGGTTGAGTCGACTCATGTCTGTCATAAGTCGACTCACAAACTGTGCTGGAAAATGAGTTTTGTTTCTGCTGAGTCGACCTATGACTTCATGAGTCGACACATGCATGATGAGTCGACTCATGAATTTTATGAGTCGACCCATAAGTTAGTTTTTAGCCTATAATGGCTACTTATGAGTCGACTCATGAATAGTACCGAGTTGACTCATAACACTGTAACGACTATATTTTCAGACTATACTATTTTTGGGTTTTTGGTCTTTTTGCCTTATTTTCTCTTAGCTTTGGTGTTCCTATAAATACCCCCACATATCCTCCGTTCTATATATAACTCTCAAGAGAGTGTTTTAAGAAGGATTTACAAGGGTTTAAAGTTTTGTATAGTGTTTGTTTAAAAAGCTTTTAAGCAATTGGGAGTTTGTTTTGTGAAAACAATTTTTCAAGAGCTTGAGGAAGATCATTCATCAGTGTTTGAGCATCCGACTCTTCTCCCTCTCTCTCTTGATCTATAGAGAAGTTTTTCTTAAACTCAATTCTAGCATTTTATATGTTTGATCTTAATTTCGTAAGCTAGATTTCATATTGAGTTTAATTGTTTTATTGAATCTCTTTGTTCACACAACCACTGAGCTTATTGTATTTACATTCATAGTATAATTTGGGTTGTGGAGTTTGTGACATTGAGTTGCACCTAATTGAGTTCTCACCTTGTATTAGAGAACAAATCTTTTGTTGTGAGCTATTATTGTGAGTTGCACTTTGTATTATAGTTAGACACCGAGAGAAGTGGTTGTTGAGAGATAGTGCTGGAGACCAACACTTGAGGTGGTAGTTAGTGTGTTTATATTGTGAGTGTTGTAGAGTTTTCGGTTAGCTAGAAAACTGTATTGTGAGGTGTGAACGTTTTTTGGGTAAGCGTAGAAAACCCGGTGTGTTAGTTGTGAGATTGTGAACGTTGATCGGTGAGCGTTGAAAACCGATATTGTGTGGTGTAAACATTATTCGGGTGTGCGTAAAAAACCCGGTTGTGATAGTAGATTTCTCCCCAAGAGTGGGGAGCGAAGACGTAGGACGGAAGGTCCGAACTCCGTGATCATATTGTGTGTTTGCATTGTTTATATTGCCCTATCACAATTGTATCTTTAGTTTAGATTATTTACCCTTGTGTTGTTTATATATCCTTGCATATATTTCACCATATAGGATATATCTCTTTGTTCATATTGCATATTCTTACTCATAACATATTATATATCTATCTTGCAAGAATAATTTATTAATAAGTTTTAATTGGCATAAAATCAGATTAGATTAGCATAAGACCCTAATCACCCACCCCTCTAGGATCTAACGGTTGCCACAACTAACTCGGACCCATCGGACGCTCACAAATTCACTATTTTTGCAAAACAGTCGATACTGACGTGGTAGGAAGATAGCCAATCCATACCAAGAATAACATCGAACTCTGACATGCGCAACACTATCAGATTGACAACTAACTAAGACTCATCTAAACTGATAATACACCTCCTACAAATACTCTCCAAGGGCGACATCTTACCTAGAGGGGTGGAAACTGATAAAGGAATATCTAGAGATTGAGCTACGAGCTGAAGTCTAATCATAAATGCATACGATATAAAAGAATGTGAAGCCCCTGAATCGAAAAGAATATGGGTTAGAAAGGAGTTCATGAGGAACGTACTCTCCACTACGGCCCCGCTCACACTATGATCACGAGGGACTACCGCATAAACTCTACCGGTGGCTGGAGGCTGCTCTGCTACTGGAAGTGGAGCATTTTAGACTATATGTCCCTGAGGGACCTCCTGAACTACTCGAACCTTTCCCTCAATCATCCGAACTACTAGCGGTGCCTCGAGTCTCATCTGCTGGCCCTGACCTCGGCCCAGAAATTAGTTCTGCTGCTGATTCTGCCCTTTCCTTTGCTGGGCTCTTGCTGGTGCACTACGACAGTCTGATGCTCTGTTGCCAATCTTGTGACACTTAAAACATGTGCCCGGAAACTTGCGCCGCTGAGGTGCTCTCTGATCATGCTGGGGTCCTCTCCTATGAGGGCCTTACTGCTGCTGCTGGGGTCCTGAAAAAAGCCTCTTTTTCTTTCCCTTATTTTTAGTATTCCCTTCCTTATCTTTCTGAAACATAACTGACTCGTTCTTCTGTGAAGTGGCAGCATTAGCTACCTCTCGAACTAAGTAGAACCTCCTAGAAACGAGGTATAGATGAACGCTAGGGCGAAGTCCTGCTAGAAACATCAGTGTCTAGCGTTCTCCAGTCTGCCACATGCCCGTATAGTGAAGTAGGCTCATAAATCTACTCTCAAAATCAGCTACTGATATATCTCCCTGCGTCAATCTGGACAACTCAAGCTCTCTCCTGGCTCGTGCCACGAAAGAGATATACTGCTCATCGAAAAAATAGACAAAGTCCTCCCAGGTGAGGGTCATCCTCTATTCTGGGGTAAACTGTAGGCGGTACCATCTCCCTACACCCCCTTTGAGACTATAGGATGCTAGCCTCTGCTTCTAAACCGAAGTTACATTAAGTACCTCAAGAGTGTTACCCACATCTTCCTTCCACTTATGTGTCGTAAGAGAATCTGATAATCCCTAAAACTCTGGTGCCCTGATCTTCTAGTATCTCTCCACTAAGCGGAGCCAAGACTCCTGCTCTGTGGTTCTATCAGCAACTACCTGTGGGGTGGGTACGGGTGTGTCTTCTAGGAAATTTTTTCCAACAGGAATAGCTGGTATCACCGGTGGTGGAACTACTCGTGGTGGTGGTGGTGTGATGTAATTCGTCACAAGCCCCTCAAGTGCTACCATCCTAGAAGCTATGGGAACCATCAGGTCTATTAAATACTAGAGAGCCTGTTGCGGCTCCCGGCAAGTGCTACCATCCTAGAAGCTATGGGAACCATCAGGTCTATTAAATACTAGAGAGCCTGTTGCGGCTCGAGTGGAGCCTGTTACAGCTCTGGTGGAGCCCGTTGTGGCTCTGGTGCAGCCTGCTATGGCTCTGCCTGACCAGCTCTCCGGGTACAAGGTCTACCACATCCAGCCATCTAAGCATATAGAAGAAAGTTTATAAGTCCTCGAACAAAACATATATGGAATTCGTAAAGATAAGAAATTCGTATTATATATCATTCATGCAAATACTTTTAATATCAATGAATACTAGTCTCACAAATAAAAATATTCGTAATTTTTAATACACGTATATAACGTCCTCACTCATTCTAGAAATTTTTAGTGGACTCTATACATGAATCTTAAGAAATTCTACTCTAACTCCATGACTCGACACAAGATGATCCTAAGCATACTAAAACTAGAGCTCTGATACCAACTATGATGCTACTGGTTTCAACAAGGCTGCAGTCCAAGGTGAAACCAAGAATGTCAAACCTGCCATGCACTAGCATGTTTTACCATCACAATTACTATCTATCTAGTAGAATCAACAATAGGTGTAGGTACAAAACAGGCTAGAGAAAATATATAGAAAAAATACTAAACGACAGATATTCTGAAAAATCATCACCACTGAAATAAGTAGACAAATCTCTGAGAGAAATAACATCTTCCTGAATACAA